GGATATATCGCGACGCGTCGTGTGGCCATTTAAACCGCGTAAACGTTCCTCTCGTCTCGACAGTTGTACGGTCGTAATTCACCAGGAACAGGATTTGATTTTTACCAAAGGATCGCGCGACGCGGCCGGCTCGTGCACGCGCGCGTAGGCTGGCCGCAGGTTGCACGCGCGAGGAACACTGTTAGCGCGCGTGGGAGTAATTTGTGAGCTCGCGAGTGCGTTTCGTGCGTGCCGGCCGATACGGCCCTCCGGAGGAAGCAAGTGGAAGGTGGATCCTTATCTGGCCGAATTTTACGACCGTTTTAAAGGATCGTTAATTTTCAAGCGTTTATCGCCTCACCGCCACGCCGCGCATCCCTTCGACGTCTCCTCCTCTGCTGGCAAACTGGACCGCGGTCCACCTTTTCCCCTCTTAATCCCCTTTTCTTACGTTTCTTTTTCCTTCTTCTTCGGTAACGCGTTCTTTTTACCATTTTTTTTTTTTTTTACCGTCGAGTGTTTTTCAGCGTTAATGATAATAATTGCTTTCTCAAACGGTCGAGTTTGCTTTACGATCGTCTCGATTATTTGTGCGTTTACGTGAATTATTAATTGCGAATATAAGAGAGAAAATTTAACGATTGGTTACCGCAACAGCGTACAAAATGAAGAAATTAGAAGAGGCGAGACAGAGGTAGGTATTTCAGGTATTCGGAACGAAACAACCTTTCGTGACGCGATTTGCCGGAAGCCTGGCTGCTTTTACGAATTTTTATTCCCTCGTAAAACCGCTTTTACGACCGATTTCTAACGTATTTTTTAAACAGTTTGCTCCTCGAGAATTAAACACAGCCACGAAATTGGGTTATTGGAGTAGTTCGTTTTATCGTCTCGATGAAACCGCGTTTCCATGTTCCAGCACGTCGGGAAGAAGGTTAGAGGGGGAAAAAAGAAGAAAAAGAAATTCTATGAATTATTTAAAAAGGAACACCCCGCGTCTACACGTGGAAAAGATAAGCTTCTCCATCTGACGTGTCTCTCGGTTGAAGATTTTTTTTTTCAACAACCCTCCTTAGAAAAGTGCCGCAAGTCTGGCAACAGCCACGGGAGCGAAGCCATGGAATTCATGAAGGTTAATTGCAAGTTGATGAGAACAGTTTTAACGCTTTTAACTTTTCACTTGGTCTTCCAGACCGGACGGCCAGTCTACACTCTCATGTATATTTAATAACCGACACGTGGGTACACTTGTCTAGGCAGTTAACGTGATAAGTGCATCCATGTTAATTTGCACGGAACCTTTAAAAAATTCAACAACCTAGCCAGCGTTCGTTCACACCTATCCGCTTCCTGTTACATCGACTTCCTTCTTATAATATTCCTTCCTCCGATTAAAATTGAATTGAAACGACAACGAAAGAAAGAACGTGATCGAGCTAAAGCGTACCACAGATTACCTGGGAGAGACGATTACTCAAACTGGGCGGAAAAGTCGTTGTTCGCGACGCTAAGGGTGTCCAACGACGCGAACGCTTACGTTTCGTCGCCTGCTGGCTCCCGCCGCGACACTCATGAGTAATTCTCATGTTCCTTTAATGAGCCGCCCACAACTGAACGCGTTTCCAGCTTGCAGCGACGTATTCACGCCCGCAAAAGGGCATAGGCGTAGGTGCATAGCAAAGCGAAGGGAGGAAAGGAAAACAAAGCGGCTCGCGCGCGTTGCGCCGTCCTCCTCGCGGAAGGCCTACCTGCCTGCCTGCCTGCCTGCCGTGCTTTAAATCGTGTCACGCTTTGATAGTCTCATTACAGGCTCCGTTAACCTGTTTTTTCATCGAACCAAGACCATTTCGTACTTTGCCTCGTTCGTACCACAACGGAGAGTATAAAAAACGAGGAAAGCGTTGGAAAAAAAGACATTGATATACCGTTTCGCTTTTTCTCTCTCTCTCTCTCTCTCTCTCTCTCTTTCTCTATGTGCTCCAACGTGTGTGTCTGTGTGCAATAATCGTCGCTTAATGGTACACGTCACGCAGCGTAGTTAGCGCGAATTGCTGAACACTTGACGATGGGAGTACATCTAGAGCGCGATTTGCCTCTTGTAATTTGCCTCTGATAAGGAGAACGAGTTGTTTGGTCTTTCGAATATTTCGAATTTCTTTTCAAGCCAACGGAGATCTTCACTCGCTGCTGCATCTCTGAGCTTCACGAAACCTAAATTACCACGTGGATCATCTTTCGCAGCGTACATCGTGCCATATGGGCCACTATGAGCATAAGCAAGTACGGTGAATCTCCCCTAATTAAATAACGTCACTACCCCTAATTTCTACGATTCTTCCATTCCGATTCAGTGTCGCGTAGCTAATTCGATTTCGTGTCTAGCTAATACCGTATAATTATTCCACAGTCGACATGCACGCCTCTGTTGCCATTGTTTTCACCAGCGTGAATGAATTTCCAGCGGCGAGTTGGAAATACAGTTTGTGCACAGTTTCCAGAAGAACAGGTATATACAGCGAGGAATTGGCAGAATCCTCGGGTATTGGAAAGAGAAAGAGCTGTATACGTCGAAACACCTTCGAAACAGATGGTCGTTAGATCCGACTCAGTGACCCGGTGGTGGTGGTGGCGAAATTTTTCCTGGAAAGTTGCGTTTCCCTTTAAAATCGTTACTCTTAATACGGATCTCTTTGTATCTTCTTCTGATCCTATACAGAGGCACGTGTGTGGAAACTCATTCCAATTCATAAGGCTAGCTTGAAGGGGCATTACAATTTCAGGAAATGAATATCGTCGAACGAGCTTCAAGTTAGAACACCGAGAAAATTATAGAACTGATTGGAATAATCTGCTAAAAAAAATAAATATCAGAAAGCACAAAGCTAAGCCAGCAAAGGTACACATGCGTATCCACAACTAAACCTCGAAAAAGCTTCTCTCCTCGTCCTCGACAACCCTACAGTCTGATTCCCTCGAATCGTACAGCATTTAACCAGAAACCTATCGATCCTGAATCGACGAATACAACGAAAGGGTAGCAGAAGCTAGCTCTCCAAGTAGAATCGTCCTTTCTGCCAGAGTCACGGGTTACGTCGAGGCGAGTACGAGTCGTCACCGGGTGGATTCGCGGGTAGAAGCCTCGAGCTAGGACCACCCTTCGGCCTCGATGGCTCTTCAACCCCTTCCAGGTGGTCGCGTCGGACCTCTCCTCCCGCTCGACTGCTCCGTGAACCGCGATCTCTCCGTACGAACGAACGAACGAACGAACGAACGAACGTAGGAGAGAGGAACGAGAGCGAGCGAGGAAAGCGGTCCAAGTGGGAGCATTCGTATCAATGCACTCCCCTGGCCCCCCCGCGTGCGGTCGTGAGGTCGGTTGGACCCCCTTCCAACACCCCTCCACTGTGCTCGTGGAGTGCAACGCAACCCCACCCTCCCCTCTCCGCGCTATAATGAAAGATATTAACTACAATTTTATATCGAATTACCGCTGAAACACATTTCAAATTAGTTGGGCGTAGCCGCGCCACGTAGCGGAGGCGCCGAGGTTACTTTGCCTGCGATTGGTAGGCTAGTTAGCTAGGTAGCAGAGGATTGGTCGAGTGGAAGGAGCAGAGGGGAATGTTCAGGGCGTGCCACAACTCCGATATGGCCGCCCAGGAACGAGCGGAGGCGCCTGGCCTGCTCAGTGCGAGCAGATCAGTCGAGGCAACCCGATGCACACGCACGCCTCGCCCCAAACGAACGCTGCTCCTGAGGAAGCCTGACCAGATCGAACAACACAGTCTCTCTCTCGCTCACCTTCGCAACTTCGAGGAATAGTGCTTGTCGACGAATCTTCCAATCTTCCCCGCGAGTTTATTTCTCTCCGTTGTAACAAGTTTTTTCTACAATCGTGTTCGATCCGTGTGACGATAGACCGGTAACAGATCCATGTGGATCCAACATCGTCGACGAGGAGGAGGAGGATCTCGAGGAATGACGTGGTTAAAGTACCGTCGCTGGTGATCGAGGAAATACAATCCCGGAGGACCGAGTGTGAACTGTCTTTGTTTTCGAAGAGATCTCCGTGTGATATCATCGATGAGTTTTACCACGAGCGCGAACTGGATGGTAGAAACGCTCAAGTTCGGTGAACGTGAGACGAGGGACACGTAGAGTTTGTTAAACCGGTTCGGTGACTGTCGCCGATTAATCGCAGTGCTCGCGGCGAATGATCGAGTGTCTTTATCGAGAAACAACACAGGGTTCTCGTTAGTAGATCGGTTATAATAGACGTGATTAACGCCGCCCGGCTAACCCGGTTGCCGTGACAACAAGCGTTTCAACTCTGTGTGTGTATATATAGGTGGTTGGGATATATTCGCTGGCGTAATAGTAACAACGCGGTTATCGCGTGGAAAAAAAAGCGAGAGGGAGACCATTTTTTTTCTTCCCTATCCCATA